TTTTTTTTAAAATTAAAAAAAATATTTGCGACGGATTTTTCTGTCGCAAATCCGTAGTAAACGTAGATTTTTTTATTTATTTTTAAATATTAAAAAAGATATTTGCGACAGAAAAATCTGTCGCAATTCTGTCGCAAAACTCGGGTTTTGTCCGTCGCAATTTTGCGACAGATTAACGACCGACAAACTTTTGCGACAACAATATACGGACAGAAATGATTCTGTCGCAATCTGTCGCAAATTTGTAATTGCGACAGATATTCTTGTGTAATTGCGACAGATTTTTCTATCGCAAATTTTGATGTTTCTTGTAGTGATTATGATTCGAATTTGGTCGAGAGACTGAGGAGGGTAGCAACTGGCATATGCGAGCGCTATGACCTAGCACGCCACACAATTGGCATTTACCGAGATACGGTCGTGGCGGAGGGCGAGAGGAGTAGCTGCGGGACTGGCCAAAAGATTGGTGGCGTGGTGACCGATAGGTTGACGAGGAGTGCCGAGGATTGGGAGCACGGCCATGAGGAAAGTAGCCATGGTTGGCAATGTTCGCCGAGATCGATACATCGGAAATGGTAGTCGCGGCAAGATCGACGTCATGAGTGAGTAGCTTCTCATGCAATTCAATGAAGGAGATGGTTGACTCACGAGCATCCACGACATCTTTGACAGGTTTGTATTCCTCACCAAGGCCAGCAAGGATGAGATCAATAAGTCCTCATGATCCATAGGTTTACCGAGGAGTGCTAGTTCATCAGCCTTCACTTTGAAGAAGTTCATGTAATCGTCAACGATTTTAGAGCCCTTGGTGAGGCACCAGAGTTGCTCTTTCAGTTGTTTGACATGGCCGCGACTCGAGCGCCCATATGTTTGAGCGAGAGTGGACCAAGCCGAGGCAGCAGTGGTAGCCATGGCCACTAGGGCTTGACACGACACCGAGATCAATCCAAGGAGCGCCGAAAGGACGAGACGATCTTGGCGAAACCAAGTGGTATAAGCTGGATTCGGAATGATGGCATTGTTGATGATGAGAGTTGCCAGTGGAGCATTAGGCGGATCGAGAAAAGTGTCCAAGTTATATCCTTGGAGAAGGGCGCAAAGTTGAATGCTCCAAGTAATATAATTGGAGGCGGTGAGTTTGGTGACATTGGTCACGTTCATGTTGATCAATGTGGAGGCGTCATCGGATCCGTAGGCGGCGGCGGCGATAGTGTTGTCAGGGGCGGACGTAACATTATCACGAACAGGGGTAGGGAGACCACCAGAGCTGGATGGTGTGTTCGAAGCCATGGCTGAACAGGGGATGGATGGCCGGAGGGAGCGGCGATGGTATTGCTGGCTGCTGTAAGAATGGCCGAGAGAGTTAGGTTAAGGGTAGATATGTCTTTTGACTTTTGGCTCTTATACCATAATATACTTTGAGATTTTATAAATTTGTGTTGTAATATTAACAATGCCATACGAGAGTTATATACAAGGTTGTTAACAAGAATATATATGGAAAGATTACATAGAATCAGAAAATCTTGCTAAACTCAAGAATATATCTCTATCATTAATAATTTTAAAATTGTTTAAAAGTGTCATATTGATCCTTAACGTAAATTGACCAAAATAATATTATCATAAAATCATACGTGGCGTTGAGATATCAAAATATTTTAGAATTTGGGAAAAAAATTCTACTTTTTTTAATGGGTAAAAACCAATTCTCGAAAATTCTTTGTCTGAATTAAACATATGGTTCTAACATACGATTAGAGATTGCGTATAATATGTTCGACGTAATGTTTGTAAGAGTTCTTGTTGGCGAGTGCAAGGTGATGAACGGGTGGTGATACATGAATAATTTGCAGAAACAAAAGACATTTCGATGTGATTATGCGGTTTTTATTTGTTATATTTGTGTACACACATGAGATAGCGCGTGAGTTTATTAAATTCGGTTCGGACGGATTTTGTTAAACCAAGTTTATTAAATCCGGTTCTGCATACATAATATACAATTCTGACATGTCTTGACATCTCATGTACCACGTATGATTCTATAACAATATTATTTTGGTCAACTTACTTTAAGAATTAATATGATACTTTTAAACAATTTTAAAAATTATTAAGTCACTTTTTTTTCAAATTTGGGAATAATTAGACATACTAAAAAATATAGAAATTATTTTTCTACCAAATTGCAAGTTTTAGAATTTTCATGAGTTTTTCTCTTTAAGCAAACACTATTTTTTATGCTATTAGGATATTATCTAAAATTATTTTAAATATTTCTAAAAAACATCCGAAAACGAAAAATAAATCAGACTTTTACTTTTAAATTTTCATTATAACACATATTTCTCTTCCTGAATTCAATTCATAAAAACTTGAAAATACATTTTAAGTAAATATCTTTAACAGAATAAAAGTACATATTAAAATTAACGATTGAACATTAATTGTTTTTTACATTAGTATTCTATTAGCTTTTTATATATATATATATATATATATATATATTGTTTTTTGACGTATTTTTATTTTTGAATTATTTTGATATTCCATCAGAATTTAACTAATTTATTTAAAAAAAACATATTCATCATTTTGTATTTTCATTTTCATTTTATTATATCAATCTCATATGTATATCTTATATCTAAAATTCGTTAGTGAATCTGCAATGATATATACACCGAACCGATGTTAAAAGCGAATGCAATATTTTTTTTCCCAGTTAAGTAAACAAAAAAAACAAACAAAAGAAATATTTTGTTCGACCCAACAATTCTATAGTTATTTTCTGATTTTACTGGACCACTCCGGACCGAATGACATAGATCTAACCCAAAACCGGCATCTTGCAGAGTTTTGGTAAAAAAAATCATAGAATTAAAATTTTATTTGTTCATACCTTTTTATTTATTTTTATCGTTGAAAATTACATTAGCAAATTCAATTGGAGAATGTATATATTCTTTCATATCTCAAAGGAGGGAGTGTGGGCCCCAGAATGTGGCAGATGATGTTCACGTCCGCAACTTGGGTCATGTTGACAGTTGGCTCCTGGTGCCTCGTGGTCCGTTAGGCCCACTTCATCATCAATCTAAATTTAACCCAATATTTCATGAGTTTTTTTTTTTATAAAGGCAATATTTCATTAGTTATTCAATTGAGAAACATATATAATTGTAATAGTTTTTTTTTTGGGTTGATGTGATGGTTGTATTAATGCTAACCCAAAATGTTGGTGATTACAACAGTTTAACAGCCGATTACATAGATTCATGGGATTCCATGCGCAAGTGGTACAAAAATGTCAAAAGTTTAAAATCGAGAGGACATGGCCACAAGGCCACGAAGAACAACTAAATCAAAGCGGAACCCATGTTTTTTGCGTGGAATACACGGGGCCTAAATGGTTGGCATAAACAGAATTTTGTACGCAAGTGGATTTTGGAAAGTACGTTGCGAATTGGAGAGCTTCTTGAGACTCACATTCGAGAAACAAACAAGGATAGAATAATAGCAGCTATTCCACCAAGCTGGAAATTCTACTGCAACTATGAGCATGATGACTCGGGGAGAATCTGGCTCGTCTGGGACCCATCAACTATGGTAACAATCTACAATGAAACACAGTAGACAATCACTTTTGGGGTTCTGTATCCAGAGGGGAACACGTCTTTTATGGCAACACTGGTTTATGCACACAACCAAGCACAAGACAAAAGATATCTTTGGCAGGAGTTAACTACACTCGCGGGATATCAGCCAGTCAGGAATTCACCTTGGATCATCCTAGGAGATTTCAATCAAATACTGCAGCCGATGGAGCGTTCTGACTACCCAGCGAACTTGTCACTTGGACAAGGCATGACAGATTTTGAGGCTTGTATAACACAGTCTGAGATATTCGATATCCCATACAAGGGATTTCACTTCACTTGGTGTAATAAGAGTAGCAGTCACCCGCTTGCTGTGAAATTGGACCGAGCAATGGGAAATGATTCATGGCAAGAGGCATTTCCCGATGCTTATGCTGAATTTGCTGCACCAGGCCCATATGACCATTCGCCTATTATTCTGCATATGCCATCAATAGTGACAAAGGTATGCAGACCTTTCAAGTTCTTTCATCATGTTAGTCTTCATCCTAACTTCTTGCAGGTCATTCGTGATTGTTGGAATGTCTCTGAATGGGAAGGTTCAAGGCAATTCGGACTTTGCAAAACCTTGAAAGCTTTGAAAGGACCGCTGAGAGTAATGAACAAGAACAATTTCAGTGGGATTACGCAGAGGGTAAAAGGGCTTACAGAGGAACTAAAGCTTATCCAGCAAAGGCTATTTGAAAACCCTTCCCCCGAACATGTGGCAGAAGAGCAAACCATAAGAGCAAAGTGGGTTATGTTGGTGGCAGCTGAGGAATCCTTCTTCAGGCAGAAATCACGACTGAATTGGTTGGCAATGGGCGACAAAAATACCAGGTTTTTTCATAAGGTTGTCAAGGGAAGGACGACAAAGAATCATATTTATTTCTTAGAGGATCAGGATGGTCAGAGGCTGCAATCCCCTACAGATATCAAGCGACATGCCGAGGCCTTCTTTACCAGATTAATTGGCACCCGTGACAACAGTGTAGAGGTTCCATCAGTTGAATGGTTGAGACAACTCATGCCCTATTCCTGCTCGCCAGAAGATGTTGCTGAATAATCAGAATACCAAGTGCAGATGACATTAAACAAGCTCTCTTTGGGATGGCAGACAATAAGGCTCCAGGGCCGGATGGTTACCCAAAGGAATTCTTCGTGAAGACTTGGGAACTCACAGGTAACGACCTAATCGGTGCAGTGCAGGAGTTCTTCCGAACAGGAATACTATTGGGACAGCTCAATTCAACGATAATATCACTTGTTCCGAAGAAACCGGGAGCGGTTGCACTAGCTGATTACCGCCCGATCAGCTGTTGTAACACAATATACAAGCTAATATCAGTCCTATTAGCCAGGAAGCTTAAGCTCATCTTGCAAGGAATTATTTCCCCTAACCAAGGTGCGTTCCTCAAAGGTAGATTGATGATGGAGAATATCTTGCTAGCAACTTGTTGGGGATATCTACGGGTTTCTAGCATGCGATCATGTCGATCTAGGGTTTGTTTACTAGGTTTCATGCAGCGGAAGAAAGATCTAAACCTAGTCAAACGTCACACGCAACCAAACTCGCAAAACCCGAAAGATCGTGTATATCACCGAGGGAATCGTTACTTACCTCGTTCTCGATGAGACTTGAAGATTATTTCGATCTGGGGCCTGTTCTAAATCACCTAGGACTGAAGTTACAGTCCCTCTACACGTATCCACACCGACGGGAATGATTCCAAACGATTTGGAACGAATCTGCTAGGATTAGTGAAGAAAAGGGTAACTCAAGAGACGAGATCCAATCCCGGGAAAATAGAAATCGAAGAGAACAGGTTCTCTAGGGTTCTAGGATGTTTCTCTGAGTTTTAGGTCGGCCTTAATTAAGTTTGGACGAAATCCCAAACTTAAATAAGTTTAGAAAACCCTAAAATCGAATTTTGGAAAGTTTCCCAGATCCCGGTCCGCCGGACCAGGAGCTTGGTCCGGCGGACCAAGATTAGTTCGAGGCTCACGGACCGCCTGACCTGAAGGCTTGGTCCGGCGGACCACGCGTGGTCAGCTCCGGACCAAGACCCTTCTTGGTCAGCTCAGTCCGACTCGTCTTTTCTCGGTCCGCCTGTCCCAGAGTCTAGTCCGGGGTGTTGGTTTAGTGCTCTATGATGTACTGATTATGAGCTTTGTTTGATGGACATGATGCTCTGGGATGATCATACGATATGAGAACCATGTATGATACGATGTATTTATTGGATGAATACATTATTTATTTATTATTTATTTTGCATATTTGATAAATAATGATTATCCATGGATCGTAATGTACGATCCTAAATTCCTTAGTCGTTTGTCATTGTGGGAACAATGATGAAATAAGACTAACATGAGGCGTGATGGATGATCATAATGATGATCATGTGTATTGGATACGGATCACGGTCATGAGTACTTGTTTGGAACAAGTGACTGGATGACTCGTGTGAGATGTCGATTGGATTTAATCCATGACTTGAATCTCACTTGATGGTTCGCCTTAGATCCTCAGACCTGAGATATCTATTGTATCCATCATGACGAGCAATGTACTTTGACTGCGTCAAACGTCATCTTTAACCGGATGACTATAAAGGCGTGGCTCGGGTACATTACGAATCATGTATTGGATAGTAGATAGTCAAGATGGAACTTTGTCCCTCTCGAAAGAGAGAGATATCGCTTGGGCCCGTCGTAGGAGTAGGACTGTAGAAATGTGCGGCCGCACCATAGATGAATGTCATCTATCTCTTACAGTCTACTCGGGGTACGACAAAGCATTCGAACTATGAGTTCGGTTATGATATCGTGAGACAAAGAGGATCATCGTTGGAGCTATCTCTGGCTTTTCGGTTAGATCACATCTAACTCTTTCCGATACGGGTAATCATAATGTCTTGCTAGAGACCGCTTATGATTTGTAAAGCGAGATTGGATCTCGTGTTTACTGCCGTATTCGGAGGAGCCTAAAGGGTCACACACATATGGGATGGACGTGTATGAACGGGATCAAACAGACGAGAAAAATCAGATTTTTATTCGTTTTTGAGGTCTGGTCCGGAGCTGACCAAGAGTTGGTCGGCCGGACCAGACGGACGGGAGAAACGGGCGGAGTGGGCGAAAAACACTGTCTGGTCCGGAGCTGACCAGAACTGGTCAGCCGGACCAGACTGTGTTAAATAAGCGACGCACGTTTTTCGTTCGGAGTTTGTCTGGTCCGGCGGACCAAAACCTTGGTCCGGCGGACCAGGAAGTCAGGCGGACTTAATCCTTCGGTCCGGAGCTCGTTTGGTCCGGCGGACCAAGATTCTGGTCCGCCGGATCGCGGACTGTCGGCAAAGAGCTGGTCACGTGTTCCTGGTCCGGCTGACCAAGAGTTGGTCAGCCCCGGACCAAGACACTGACAAATCCGAAAACACGTTTTCTCGCCCTTTTCTTGGTGGAAACAGGTGGGGAACGCGTGAGTTTGATTAGTCTCGACTCCTCTGACCTTTGGAAGGTTAGAGAGACACAGAAAAACTCTCCCAAGAGATAGAGAGATCAAGAAGGTGTTCTTGAACTCCATACACAAGAGAATTGTTCTCTTGAGCTCTAGCAAGCTTGATTCCAAGTGTTGGAATCCATTCCAAGGTGTGGACTGCTCAAGAGGGTGTTGGCTCATTCAACACCTAGGCTGTGATCAACTAAC